TTGTTACCCTTGAAGACTAAAATGGAATGCCTCGTTTTCAATAAAAAAAGGGTCTTCAGTTCTCTACATTCACCATACGAAAAACAGGAGCATTAAGCTGATATTTTATGTTCACTAGTATTCTGTAAGAGCGTGCTCCTATCCCAATCAAACTGATATATTCGTACTACGACCATAATATTACTGCAGTGTAGCTCTACCGCGTATAACTATACAAACTAGCGGTTGACTTGTGGTTGAAATTCGAGGGTAATTCATTGAATTTTTTGGTTTGCTTAATCATCGGTATTTTACTTTCAACTGCACCGTGACAAAATATCTACAATGTGCTACACATCTCTGCTCTGTGCTACTGTTTGGCTCATAGACTTAGAAAATACTGGCGTATAGACGACCTGACAGCCCAAAAATGCGTTTTTTATTTTTAGTCTTTATTAGGAAGACGCTGCCGCCCATCTCCTGATTTATTTCCCTTTCTCGTCTCTACACATGAGTGTAAATAAAATCACGTTGAAAAGGTTCCAAAATAACGTTGTTCCTTTGCGCCGCCACCGTACAATTTTCTCCGTTACTCCTGTTACTGATTTAACAAAACAAAATGATCCTTACGCATACCTTGTTACCGTGTAACATGGTACGTGTACCGTGGAATAGAACAGTGGATTAGTCGCCTTTTACGAAATCCACAGAATGATATGACTATTCATATTCTGGCACTACACGGTAATTGATAATTTCTCAAAACATTTCATCTATCGACAAATCGTCTTGCATCCTTCATTACTCTACTCGTAGCGCTCACTTGTCCTTCATAAAAATAATTCGATATTTTAATTGTTTGTGTATTTATTTTAAGATATTTTAAGTGAATTGTGAAAGTGCTCCTGTAAAGTGCTCGAAACGTCGGGAATATAAAATAAGCGAATATACGCGATTAAATCTGTAAAAACTAGTTTTATTTAAATGTGTAGTGTTCGTGTAAATATAAGAAAACATTAACCATTCTCTCGCAGTGGTAGCTTGTTCAAATGATGGTGTAGTATTCTTAACTCTCGAATAATGCTTTGTATAAATATTAAAACACGCTTTAAGAATGGCAGATTAAATCAAACACTTTTTTGGAACCTTTGAAAATACTACTTTGCAGTAGTTTGCTTCTATGTCAACCCCTTCAGAAGTGTCTGCCATTTTTTTTTCTTCATTCTTTATCAAATTAGCTGACGGATAGTCATTATTATTATTTGAATCAAACGCTTTTTTTAGACGAATTTTTTTGAGTCATGTAGGTACCTGCTTATTGAGTGGACTGATACTTTTCAATGTAGTGTCATGATCATCAAACACTTCATGAAAAATGCATCATGAGCTCCCGGACCAGAGTGTCTCGTTTCCAGTACAAAGGTCTTCAGTTCTCTATACTCACCATACAAAACACAGCGGCATTGACCTGCTTCTTACGTTGGTATTCTGTGACAGCGTAGTCCTGCCCCGGTGGAACCGAACCATTTGTGTTACAACCATAATAGAGCTGCAGCATGGCTATCTCACATAACATTTTTGATGACACTCTTTCGTCGCTTGTATAAATAGTTATTATCTGCCATATATTTTTATAGAAATAGGGTGACAAACTAAAACACAGTCTACCTGATGGTAAGTGGTTGCTGAGGCCCATAGACATCTACATCTATCCTCGTTTGCGAATCAAAATGCCGATGCGTTGTCAGCCTTCAGGACTAAGATGGAATGCCTAGTTTCCAGTAAAAAGGGTCTCCAGTTCTCTACATTCACCATAGAAAACAGCATTAAGCTGCTATTTTACGCTGGTATTCTGTGAGAGCGTGGTCCTTCCCCCGTCGAGCCGACCCATTCGTGCTACAAACATATTTTAAATATAGCTGCAGCTTGGCTCTACCACGTAAAAATACACATAAGCGTATATTATATAGTTTACCGTAATCTCTCGGGGACTACGTGGTCTTTCTGTTTTTTATCACATAGTTACATCTCGCCAGTTATGGATGCGCCATAAGATAAACATATTTTGATGAACGATAATGATAATAACTATCAAGATATATCAAAAAGCCAGATTACAAGACATTCTTTACAACCTATTTTTACCCGAGTAAAGTGGAGGTCATAAATATGTATTTGAGTTGTATATTTCATTCATGTATGTAAGGATGTATGTATGCTTATAAGTTTCTTCGTAACCCCATCAGTATATTACTAATTATAACTTCATGAAAATCTTACAATTAAAAAAAAATATTATGAATACAAACATTTAAAAAAATACAATTCAGAAAAGACAGTTGCCGTTCGCAATTTAAGCACTGATTTAAAACGTGATTGATAGTGAAGGAAAACAGTATAGCTACCTGCATGTCTGAATCAAAAGTTTAATGAACATGTAAATGAAGTCCACGAATATGCACTGGTGCACTGCACATTCATTGTTCCATAACCCTCTGAAAAGTGATAATGGATCATAAAAAATCATAGTAAAGTCGTAAGTCTGCATATGACATACGACTTTACTGTGAGGATCGATGTAGATGTTTATGGACCACATTATTTACTCACTATCCAGTGTGGTCTTTTTTACTCTTCTTTAAGCAGAATAAAGGTGACAAACGAACACACAGTCCACCTGATGGTATGGGAATATTGTGGCCCATAGACATTATTCAAGATTAAGAATAAGAATACAGATGCCGAGAACTATGATGGAATGTCTTGTTTCCAGTAATTACATAGTTTAAAATTAAACATTTTGTACAGTCGACTTCATTATAAGTTATTAAGAATAAATCAAAAACTATTGGTCTGATCTTGATCATATGGGACCACACGAGAAGTACCAGCTTTCAAATAAAAAAAAGAATCATCGAAATCGGTTCACCCAGTAAAAAATTATGAGGTAACACACATAAAAAATCATACAGTCAAATTGAGTACCGTCTCCTTTTTAGAAGTCGGCAGAAAAGGGTCTTGAACCACACTCACTATACGAAAAACAGCAGCATTGAGGCGCTATTTTACGTTGGTATTCTTTGAAAGCGTGTTCCTTCTCTAGTCGAACCGACCTATTCGTGCTACTATCATATTATAGCTGCAGCATTGCTCTACCACGTAAACTTACTTACTTACTTATTTATTCTTAAAATTGCCATTGTTTTTTCCTTGTTTATATTAAGCTACATCTTATTATTTATATTGCAGCAAAAGACCCATCTGTGCGATATCTAGCGATCTCAAAAATGTTGAGAGGAAAAACTTCAGCACTATTTGTGACATGAGGTACACAAACTGTAAATTAAATAAACGTGAGTTTTTTAATCGCATTAAAGGCCTTTACAAGCCAGTTGAATTAAAAAATATTTTACTATGTTTAAGACGCATAGTTATAGATATTCTATTTCAATGTGTTTCGACCTTCCCTAGGTCTTCGACTGTGCTTAACATGAGAAATAAATCAAATGTTTTAATTAATTATTAATTAAAGAATATAAGCTTTAACTTAGTATCTTAAATTTAAATAATAAAACGCAAACCGTTGTTAACAGTGGCAGCACTTCTATGTCTTTAGTATCTATAGGCGTTTCCAAGGGTTCCATTTTTGGCCCATTCCTGTTCTTAGCCAATATTAATGATTTATCTTACCAAATATGGAGTAACCGTGAAATATTTTTATTAGCTGATGATACTACGTTGATATTAAGACCAGCACACTAGTTTATTTAAAGTCGATTTGCCAATATTGCTAATTACAAAGCCAAAACTGGCTTCACGGCACTCTTTCAGGATACAAACCATCTTCTCGACTCACCGGGGTAGACAACTTCTGACATCTGCACCTTCCTCGACAATAACTGGACAGCACCAACGACCCCCGCAGTTCGAAAAATTAAATAACATTGAACTCAAACACTACTTGAACAAAATATATATTCACCGTCAGTCTTCGTTTGTGATACCAGTAATCTTAAATGACAATAAAAGAATTGACTTCCCCCCTAACACATAATAAACCTTTCAATGGAAACTTTGAAATTTGAATTTTATATCTATTTTAACAAATCGCATTTTATAATCTTTATGATCAAAATCATTATAGACACTCCTAAGTCTACTGCTGAACATAGGCATCCCCAAGGAATGTCACTTTTTATATGCTAAATAACAATCACCTACGAACTAGTCTCTGTCAAAGATAAACAGCCATACAGACACCGAGCTGATTCCGTAAGAGTTTAATTTGCTAATTATGACACGTAACAATATAATTGTACTTGTAACCACAATCATACCTAAACGTGTTTAATGAATGAAGAAGACTTTCTAACTTTTTGAAACCTAAAAGTAAAATAGAACATGTAGGTATTTTTATATAATGTGGTGTCTCCCAACCTACTCTGTAGTATCTGCTCCAAAATATTTTCAAAGGTGAGCGGGTGTACCATTACCTTGGTTTATGAACTGAAAAAACAGTTAAGATAATTTTTATGGTAAATATATTAATGGTTTTCTCTATTTGCAGAATATTGGAACTACTTAAAGGACGACGACGGAAAATGCTAACATTTATAGAAATAAAAGAAAGTCATTTTATTACAATTAAAAATTACAAGACTTGCACAAGTTTGTTTTTAATTTGATTGGAAATATGAAAATTATGTAATTTTTTTACGTTTTCAGTTTGTTATAAATAAGTATAATGTACAACACAACAAAACAAATAACAAACTTTATACAATGTCTTGCATCTGTTAGATATGTTAAATTTTAAAGATGAGATGCATTTTCACATAGGGAAAATATAACTATTTCTGTGATTTAAAACATTTTTTATCATGGTATTAAAAACGGTATTTCACTTTAACACAAAATATAGACTCTTAGAGACAACTTCACTGTACCTTAAACTCATGTAGCTTTATTAAATATTTCAAATTTTTCATTTGCACAATAATTATTATTTATAATCATTTATTTTAGCATCTTTCCTGCTTAACCATACTCCATTCTAAAAAAGAAATATACAGTATCTAAAAATTAATCATCTAAAAAAGTCAACTCTAGGATAAAAACATTTTAATAGTGCCATATTCAACTACAATATCGTTATAACTTTTAACGTAATCATCATTTGTCTGTAATTACAAAGGCATGCCACTTAGTTCAATGGTCAGTTTTACTTACATAATTGCTACGAAACGTTTTGCGCAGGTTTTTCTTTTTGTACATTCAGCCCTTTTTAAGTTGAGTGTTTGACATAGACATAAAGAATGACAAAGAAGGTAATTAATATTTGGAAGATTTGGTCATCCCCACCATGCTAATCATAAATTGGCTCAGTTGTTCCCTTTTTATGGCTTTTTGCCATTAATCGATTACCGGAGAGTTGGGTTTAAGCAGAAGTTTGCACCACACCACGTATACGTGATGTTTTTATTTGAAAACTTTTTTTTGGCATACTTTTAGTGGTAGAGCCACGCGGCAGCTTTTGCTGTCACACGGATGGGCGGGCTCGAACCGGGGTGGTACCACGACCTCACAGAATACCAGCGTGAAGTAGAGGTTTACCTCTGCGTTTCGTTTGGTGAGTGCAGGTGGCCGGAGGCCCTTTTTACTGGAAATGAGGCATTCCATCTTAGTCCTCACGGGTGACAACGCATCTGCATTTTGATTCGCAAACGAGGATGGATGTAGATGTCTATGGGCCGCAGCAACCACTTACCATCAGGTGGACTGTGTGCTCGTTTGTCACCCTTATCTTATAAAAAAAAAAAAAAAAAAAAAAAAAACACAATAATGGTTCGTCCCGTGGGTTTCAGAAAAGGTGATTGTAGCTTACGTCAGATGCAAATAACTCGGGACGGGAAGCAGCGACAAAGTTGCGAGACATCTGGTTTTGACAGAATAAGATTGACAAACGAGCACACAGCCCACCTGATTATAAGTGAATGCTGTGGCCCATAGAAAACTACATTTATACTAAATTCAGAATCAAAATACAGATGTGTTGTTACGCGTGAGGACTAATATGGAAAGCCTGATTTCCAGTAAAAAGGGTCTCTGGTTCTCTACACTCACTACACGAAACACAGTAGCATTAAGCTATTTTACGATGGTATTCTGTGAAAGCGTGATTCTTCCTCGTTCGAATTGCAACTGAAACTGAGTACTGTAACCAAAAATCCGGAGGCAAGCGTAGTATTATTTTAGTAGTAGTATTTTTTAATAGCCTCACACTAGGATTTCCTCCTGTATTGTGGCGACAGCTTACAAGCATAAAATTGAAAAAGAATAAACACCCAGGACACTCGGAACAATTATTTGTAGGGCATACAATAATCGAACCAGCGACCCTTAAACGCCGCAACTCAATGCTAAGCCACTGCGCCATGGAGCCGTCAAAAGTATTACTATGAGTATTAGTATTAATATCACTGTCATCATTATATCTGGTCTGAAATTCAATAAAAGTGTAAAACTTTCTCATATACAATGTGTAAAAAAAAAACGTTTGATCAATGAGTGTGCTAATAGAGAGTGTGGGTAATATAATATGCTTCAGTTTATGTAATCCTTTTCAGAGAATATATAAAAAAATACCCCGCCAAAAATAAAATATCTTAGATTATTTATAGGGATCTATCAATAATCTAATTAAAATAGATTAAATGTGATAAAAATACCGCTCGGCGGCTACCTGCGCCGTTTGTACACGTTCAACGATACCGTCTCCAACGATGCTGTGGCAAGATTTTAGAAAAGATGTATTTCAAATAATAATAAGATTTTAAATATTCATTAATAATATTATGATGTTACTTTTATTGATAATGTCATTGCCCTTGTAGCTTGGACAAAGTTTTTAACATATTGTATATTAGAAAAAAATAATACTTTTATGTCATACATAACCTCTCACAGAAACTGAAAAGCCTCCATGTCAATTATGCTTAAAATATGTTGTTGAAAAGGGTTACGTAATGAAAAGAAAAAACACTAACCTATGAATATTCTTGGCTCACTCAGTTTTCAAAGCAACTTCCAGGAGACTAATGATAGATGAAAACTTTAATATTAGATATTAAAGAGTATGCCGTGTGTCTCATCCCATGAGCGTCGTAAGATGCCACAGATGGAAATGGAACAAGAGTTGGGCAGCAGCATCTCCCTGATAATAACTGTGTGGCAGTGTCTTACGTAACGAAACGACTTTAAAATGGTTGTGCTCTCCCCTTCGCCGCACACGATGTATCCCAATTCTCACTCAACATAACGAAATCTTTGATCCTTTAGCTATCCAGTGGTGTAATAAAATTTTGGATGAAGATCGTAGATATGTGTCTGCATCAGCAAACTGTGCCCCCTGATTTTGTTATCATCATTTTTCTAAATTGCCCCCCGCTATGGAAGCAAATTTAAACACGTATTCTAGCCAAAATTATAGCAAACAACCCAAAAAGGTAATCTGTGGGTTGGCTTATGTTCAGCATTGGACTTTAGATGTGATATAATGACAAGGTATGATGAATAAATGATAATTTTAAAGTTAACTTACTCCTCCAGCTGTTGCAGTTCTCGTATTCCATTTGACAATAATTGCTAAAAGATTTGTATTCGCCATCATAATGACGCGCGCAAACGATTTTGTGCCTTTTAATAAAAAATAATATTAAATATGAGGTAGATCAAGGTCAGCCAGCGAGCTATGGAGAGGACATTGCTCGCAGCTTCCGAGGATATCAGTAGCTAAACCAGAGTAACTGACATAGCCCAACGGTAATTTGAAGTGGCAATGGGCCGGCTATATAGCCGGGATAACAGACAACCGTTGAGCAAGAAAGGTTTTCGATTGACAGTCCCGCACCGGTGATTGGAATGGGTAAATAGAAGCAGGTGGCTCAGGACCGGGTTTAGTGACATTCGTTGGAGGAGATTCCTGCGGAAAGGCAGTGGACTTGTAGTGGACTGTAACTATGAAAATGATGGAGCATCAGTGATTGTTCTAAACATTTTCAGCTTACCTACGTGACGTTTAGTAGAGGACGTTTAGTAGTGTGGTAGTGAGTAAGAATACTCACTACCACATACCACTCCGTGGGTGTCGAAAGAAGCGACAAAGGTAAACAAATGAGATGGGCAGCAGCGTTTTCCTAATAATAATAAAAAATAAACTATAACTCTGGTTACCAACCTGCCAAGCGTGGTAACTATGGCTAATATCCCCCTTATAAGGCAATCTATGGGTGAGACCTGTGTTCAGCAGTGGACTTTTGATAGGCAGTCAAAGTAAAGTAAAAATAATTGGCCAAAGCCTTCACAAATATTTTCGAACTCCTGACAAAAGTTATAAATTAGAGCTTTTAAAAATTACACTGAAGGGTGAAACTGTGGAGAAAATAGGTAACTCCCCCTTCCTTTCTTTCGCCAACCTACAAAGTGAAACTTCTTGAACTTTATGTCCAAGAAGTTTCATTTGAAAATAATCGACATTGTGTTCTATTTCCTCAGAATCAAATTAAAAAAGCGAATGTAAGTAAATACTACCATTTCAAAAGAAAATCGCTTACCTGGTCGTCACTCCATCCAGTGGGGAAGCCTAAACTACACTCGGTCTGCAACCCGAACCAATCGTAGAAAGCAATCAGTGGACTCTTGATTCGCGGAAGTAATGGATAAAAAAATAGTAGCTAACCAGAGATTCTTTCTACAATCTAGTTAAAGGTACCATTCCATCCAGTATCAGCTTAATGTTGCTGCGATTTGTATGGTGAGTGTACAGAACCGGAGACCCTTTTTACTAGATACGAGGCATTCCATGTTTGCCCTTAGGGGAAAAAACGCATCTACGATATTATTGTCTAAAAATATTCCTCGTCTAAACGTTTGCGGTGGCAGTTTATGTATGAGCATAATCTTCGCCATCGAAGAGAAAAGTATAGTACTAAAGGGAAAAAGTTTTTTTTTTTTTGTAATATTGTTTGCAATGAGATTGCATTAGCATATTCTTATCGAACACTGAAATTGCACAGCGCGTGAAAACGAAACATATTCATGGATTTTCATATGCACCCTATAACAAAATAGTAATAGATATTTCTACCACTGTAGTTTTGATTTGCTTGACTGTAGTCTTCTTTGTTTGAAGTTGGTCACAGGTGTCCCTGAATTACCGTAAATAGTTTTATATATTTAAAAAAAAATGCATTTTTAACTTACTTGTAAAACGTTGGGCAGTCATTAAGAAAAACGACGCATCCTTTGTCAATGAGGTCGGATTTTCGGAAAACGGAATTCTTTGGGTAAAATCGAACCCTTGATGGTTGGGCGTGACGCGGGTTTACATAATGTGCCTTATACTCCGACATTACTATGTAATTACAAAATATACATCATCATTTAATATCATAGTAATAGTATACCTAATTACAATATCATTTTGTTTTATTATAATATATTTGTAGCTATATTATGGCTGTAAAACGAATGTGGTTCAGCTCGACTGGCAAAGGACCCCGCTCTAACAGAATAGAAACGAAATGCTGCTGTATTTCCTAATGTGATTTAGAGAACTGGATACCCTTTTTACTGGAAACGAGGCATTCCATCTAAGTCCTCAGGGGTATCTACATTTTGTTTCTTAATTAAGGATAGATGTAGATGTCTATGGGCCACAGCATTCACTTACCGTCACGTGGACTGTGTGCTCGTTTTTTACCCCCATTCCATAAAAAAATAGTAACATTAAGATAAATAGACTTAGGCATTGCTTTGCAGAAATCCACTAAATTAAAGAAGTTAAAAAGTTGACCTTAGATACTATTACTCATGATGATGCCCCATTTAGAGGCGAAAGACGTATTGTATTATCAACTGTTGTGAGTCTTTTCTAGTGTAGTGGTGTTAGCGATAGAGAGGTGACGCGAGTAATGTCCTTTCAGTTAATGTGAGGAAGGCTGGAAGGGGTTCAAATCAGGGGGTTCACAGAAAAAATGAAATCTATTTGACTTGCCTAGTTTGAACTTCAAACTAGGTAAGTCAAATAGAATTTCATTGTTTTCGCGGATAATGGCTAATATTTTCAACACCTAATAATAATAAGCTTGTGACGAGCTGTGGATGTTCTGTAGGGGAGTTTGGATTTACCCTTCTTTGGCTTGCCTTGAATGGCCGACCAGATTGGAGCCCTAAAATTTTATAATTTAAGTGTAAAAGTGTAAAACGTCATAACCCTGAGAAAATTCTTACTGTATAAAGATCTTCAGTCGGCTGATAGTCCTCTCTATACCCTTAGCTGTTTACACCAATGATACGCCTGGTATTCAGTTAAGACTGCAGTGTCCATTTTAGTAAGCGACGAGTCACCGCCTGTCACCTTTTATTAATAAAGACACGACAACAGCAATTGTCTGGAGTCTCAACTCATCGATCCTACCTCACCTCAAGTATCCCAACCCTATAGCCAAACACTTTTCACTTTTCGCATAATTTTTTGACAATATTTCGTATATATTCTGGGGCTCTTTTTCGGATACAGGCCAATGTACAGATTATAGTGAAATTCTTCAAAAGGTCTCTTCGTGTTGAACCCATGTCTGCCCCCCCCCCCCCAGGTCTCCCATGAAAGATTATGAAATGACCGTGCCCCAGTAGATGCGAGATCATTCTCAAAAGAGACTAGCCATCTGAGCAAGACACATTTTTTTTTATGGTATAGGGTGACAAACGAGTACACAGTGCACCTGATGGTAAGTGGTTGCTGCGGCCCATAGACATCTACATCTATCCTCGATTACGAATCAAAATACAGATGCGTTGTTACCCGTGAGGACTAAGATGGAATGCCTCGTTTTCAGTAAAAAGGGTCTCTGGTTCTCTACACTCACCATACGAAACGCAGCAGCATTAAGCTGCTATTTGACGCTGGTATTCTGTGAGAGCGTGGTCCTTCCCCGGTCGAGCCGACCCATTCGTGTTACAACTATACCAGAAATATAGCTGCAGCATGGCTCTACCACGTATAAAAATGTGCACGAGTGTGCTCATAATATACTCTGTGGTATGCATAGCACAGAGTATATTATAGAAGTAGAATAGAGAATACACATAGTACTCTCCATTCTCTCACTGTCATAATCCGATGGGACGGTAATAAGACAGCGGTCAGCCACCGCAGAGTCTTCACTTAAGGATGCTAATGCAGAGACGAAACACGTATCGATTATCGGTGGTAGTGTGTCTTTCCTAGGGTGAAGGTATTGGGAGTTATGGTGCTAGTATTAGTGGTGACGGGGATATTGCACGCAATTGAGGGAGGGCAGGAGGTGCTCTTCAAAGTAGGTAAGACACATTATTTTATTTTCTTTCGCGGATTGAGCAAATAAATCTTTACAACTTTAATATAATAATGTTAGTAATCATAATTTAATATTCTTTGCTTATAAACTATGCAAAATCAAAGATATTGTTTAATTACACAAATAGTTTTACTCACATAAAAACATTATTAGAATCAGAATTTGTACCTTACTCCGAACCATTGAGCCATACTGAAAAGAAACAACACCAATAACTAAGTTCTGAATCAAAGAGCAATAAACCAAATCATACACCGAGAAGCCATATAAAGTTAGTGCCTTAACGAGAATTATGATAAGAAGTTACCTTACTACTTTTGTAAGCACCTTACAATTCTATTCAATTTCAACATCGAAACAGCTGAACATTATGAATGCCTTTTATTCATATATGAGTATAATATTATATGTTTTAATGAAATAAACTAATATTATTTTGACATTGAGCCCAATAGAATTTCTATTCTGATGTACTTTCTTAATTTATTAGAAATGGAGCGTGGTAAGAATAGGTAGCTCGGCCGGGGAAGGACAACGCAAGCAGTGATCAACATCTTAAAATGGCAGCATAGTGCTACTTCGTTTTGTATGGTGAGTGAAAAGAACCGGAGATCATTTCTAGTGAAACTACAAAGAGCTTCAGTCACATGAACTTCATATGACTTAAGAAATTGGTGTATTTAACAGTGACAATTTTGTCACTGTCCTTTTTACTGAAAACGAGGTATTCCATCTCAGTCCTCCGGAGTAACAACTCATCTGCATTTTGATTCTTGATCGAGGATAGATGTATATGTCTTTGGATCTCTGCATCCACTTTCCATCAGGTGCATTGTATGTTCGTTTGTTACCATAATATATTCTATTAAAATACAATTAGCTCTTCGCGTTTAGATCATGAGTTCAAGTCTATGTCTTTCGGTCTTTTTAAGTTTCTTACGGTCTCTTTAAGGTGTGCACATATAACTCACTGATAGTAGGAGAACATAAGTGAAGGAGGTACTGTCCCTGAGTATAGTTGGTCATTGCTGGCAGTCCGGTCTAGATGATCTGGACCTTAGCGAGTGGGAGGGCTGGTTAAGCTAAGCCACTTAGGTGAAATGGTGACCGGCGTCTGAACATCGCAGCATCCCGGAAGTTAGTCAGTAGTTAACAAAGTTTGTTATATTTTTTTACGCCACCAGCCTTAATATTTCTCGGCAACAAGTTGCTGAGTGCGGGAAAATCAATCATCCAACAAATCAATCAAAAAGATGGAGTGTGACAAAGTGTAATATAGTTTTCTCCTTAAAAGACACAGGTTAGCATATCTACCTAAAAAAATAACCTCTTTGACATGTATCCTGATTTTTAGGGCACTCTCATTACTGCCTCAGCCAACATCGGAATCCTCGGCGTCGATATATTAAGTGACGTTTAGTTCCGCGGTCTCTTGAAAAGGAAGGCTAAATTGGCGTCTAAAACTTTGTAGCGTGCTCTGTGGAGGAAACTGTATTTCATGCCGGCACATCACTTGCTAACATTGGCACAATCTCGGCGACATATCGGATATTTCTCATTTCTGAGCCGGGACACCCCAGTGCTCGCACCTTCCACTTAAACGCATCTAGCGGAAAGCGACCCGAATTGTCAGCGACCGAGTTCTTTCTCATCAGCTCGATACAATAAAGCTGCGAAGAGATGGGAGTGCTCAGAGGAATTGTTCAGAACGATTACAGCCGCCAAACTCCACCATGGCATATCGCGATACCATCCATACCATCTGGATGCTTGGCAATATATCATTGCGCGTTTCTTCCTCGCACGATTTCTATGTAGAATCGGTTATCGCCAGTGGTTTTTCGGGATAGATACGACTTTGGGAACTTCAACACGTGCATTTCCTATGGTATTGCAGTTGTTCATGGGCGTTATGAATCTCCCATACTCAGGTGTAATGTAAGTTCTAAGCTCGTTCCTTGTCTTTTGTAGAAATAATAAACTGAGTCATTAGGTAATATATTTTTAAATTCAAAATGTGACTAACAGAAGATTTTAACATATATTTGTATTTCGGCATACAATTAAAGTAACATATTTTTATAACTAAGCATTACTTAATTTTGCTTATTAAGTAAAGGTATTTAAGAATATTGATAACGGAAATGACTTATGCATGCTAATATCAGTTTATAACTAACGGCAGTCAATTAATTATTACAATGTTAATAATGCTCTATCAAAATTAGTACATTAGCTTAACACTTTATAGCTTAAGAAAAAATGTATTAATTAAAGTTGTAAAAATTTACTTTGCCTATATCCTAAGCTAAATAAAATAAAATGATGTGATTTGCTGTTTTGGCTCGACGCTCACTTAGTGGTCAGCCAACGCAGAGTCTACTAAACCTGAGGATGCCTCGTGTAAAAGTAACACGCTTGTCGTATTATCGTCGGTGGTGTGTTATTCCTAGAGTAGTGGTGGTGGGAATAGTGGTGCTGGGTTTATCGATGAAGGGGATAGTGCACGCAATTGAGGAAAAGTGGGAGGTGCTCTTCAAACTAGGTAAGACAAATAATATCATTTAATTGAGCGGACATAGGCAAAGTAAATTTGTCCAACTTTAATATAATAGATTTCCGCAAGTTACTTTGTGTGCCTGATTCTCTTAATTAAATGTATTAAATTTACAATACCTAATGTTAAACACTCGAATACAAATGTGCTCTTAAATGAGAAAGAGTTGGGTCTTGTGAATACCACTGTTTTCCTTGGTGTCAAGCAAGTCTTAGTTCTACAGCAGATGCTATAAGAAAGATTAAAAACCTCACCAATGTGGAGATAGCTTGAGAGAAGAGAGGAATTTAGTTTCAGAGAAGAATTTAAAGAAATAAGCATATTAACTTTGGCTTCGCAATATATTTATGAAAATGTAATGTATGTACATAAAACATAAATAGCTTTGATAAGGCGCTGCGCAAACGTGGACACTTTTTGTTACCGACACGGATCACATCACAGGAAACCGTAG